GTAATTCGACTATTAGTAAATTAATTAGAGATATCTTCAAATATATTTGTAAATATCTCTAAATATTATGAATTAAAGACATCTGTATGACTAGTAAAAACTCAGTTAGAGATATCTCTAATTACAATTGTGACGAGTCAAAACTCAGTTAGAGATATCTGCAAATATTTTTCAATGGAAGTCAATGGAGGAATATGACTAGTCATAATATATTTGCAGATATCTCCAATCTGATTTCGTACTAGTACATTTGCAATTGTAGATATCTCTAATTGTTATTCTGACTAGTCGAATTATAATTATGACTTGTCAAAATATAATTAGAGATATCTCTAAATATATTTATGGATAGTCAGAACAAAGATTTAAATGCTAAAAAGGCTTGCCATAGAGAGCGCTTCTCACTGAACAGCGCAGCAGCGATGACGTAAGCGTGCCGTGGCCCGGTATGGTGTGAGCGCGGGCCGTCGGGGGAGACGGGAGGGGGGACAAGCGTGCTTTGGCCCGGTTCGAGGCAACTGTACCTAGTGTGAGTACGGCCTAAGTGTAATATCTGTTTAAAGGGGGATGAAAAAACACAGACTGACAGACACAGACACACTCAGGCTGAAAAGAAGTGTCAAAGGTCAAATCCAGGGCAGACAGAGAGACAAAAAGAGACGAGACTATAGAGAGGAGCCGGACAGACTAGATCAGCTGCGTCTCCAGACAAAATGTCTCTCGATGATCCGTCTGTGGCTTCATCACATCATCATCATTCTCTGGATGGAGACAAACTGAAGGAGCTAAGATGTAGGGGAACGTCTTTGTAACTTATATTCATTTTGCATTTTATATGCATTATTTACATGCTACATTGTGAATGATTTACAGTCTGCGAGTTTGAATATTGACCCAGTACATTAGTAGTAATTCTGCATGTGCATGAGTCTCATTTGCTCCCGGATCTCCTTCATTATAAATGTTTATCAGCAGTGTTATAAACTCACCTCCATAGAACAGCAGAGAACAGCGTCCTCCTTCACCTCAGGTGACTCCAGGAGCTAACACACACAAAAACATGAACATAAAACACATTATAAATAAATCGTATCCACTGCATCCCTGGTAAACTGTACATACTGCATAACGCAAGACACAATGTTTTGCGATGTCATGCACATTATTGACATATTTCATTAAATAAAGCACTGGATAGAAATTGCAAGATACACAAAACATTTACATTCCACAATGCACACAAACTATATACTTATATTAGGAAATAATTCAGACAGATTTTTATATTTTGTGTGTATAAACTATTAAATTAAATAATCATTTGCATGAAACATCTATTTTCAGTATTTTTTGTAATTTCAGTTATAAAAAAAAAAACACATTTTGTGTGTATCCCAACATTCTGGTCTTCTCTGTTACATTGGTTACAAAAAGGCAGAACAATCTGTTAAGCACTGATAGAAAAAGCATGGGACTTGCTCTGAGTGATGTCACTTTCTCTTGCGGAAAACTCTGGAAGGCATTGATGCGTGTCATTACTTTTCTTTCATTTATTTGTACAAAATGTTGATAAAAATAGGACAAAATTTTTTTGTCAACTCTGTTAATGTGACATTTCATTGATTTATTATCATCAACTCCATTATTGTCAACTCCGTTATCGTCAACTTCGTTATTATCGTAAACTCTTTGTTAAAGTCTCAGTTATTATTGTCAAATCTTCATTATTATAGTCAAGTCCGTTATCGTCAACTCTGTTATTTTCGTAATCCCTTTGTTAAAATCTTTAATATTATCGTAAACTCCATTATCGTCAACTCTGTTATTTTCGTAATGTCTTTGTTAAAATCTTTGATATTATCATAAACTCCATTATCCTCAAGTCTGTTATGGTCAACTCTGTTATTATCGAAATCTCTCTGTTTTTGTCAAATCTCTGCTTCTGTCATCAATTCTGTTACTATCATCAACTCCCTTATCATAATCTCTGCTATTATCACCATCTATGTTATCGTCTACACTGAAATCATCAAACCACTGTTATTATTGTCAAATATCTGCTTTTACCATCAACTGTTATTATTTTCACTGTTATCGTCAACTTTCTGTTATTGTCAAATCACTTATTATTGTCAAATATGTTATTATCGTCAACTGTTATCATCAAATCACTGTTATTTTTTCTAATATCTGTTAGTATTATCGTCAAATGTAATTATCGTCATCTCAGTTATTGTCAAATCTGTTATTATCGTCATTGTTATCGTCAACACTTATCATCAACTCCGTTATTGTCAACACTGTTATTGTCAACACATTGTTATTATTGTCAACTCTGTTATTACCGTCACTGTTATTGTCAACTCTGTTACCTTCAACTCTGTTACCGTCAACTCATTGTTATTATTGTCAAATCACTGTTATTGTCACATATCTATTATTATCGTCAGCTCTGTTATTGTCAAAACACTGTTATTATTTTCAAATATCTGATATTATTATCGTCAAATGTAATAATAGTCATCTCTCTTATCGTCAAATCTGTTATTTTTTTCATCGTTATCTTCAACTACGTTATCGTCAACACTGTTAATCGTCAACTCATTGTTATTATACTCAAATCTCTGTTATATCAACTCTGTTATTATCACCATTATTATCGTCAACTCTGTTATTAGTCACTGTTATTATCAACTCTGTTACCATCAACTCATTGTTATTGTCAAATCACTTTTATTATTGTCAATTACCTGTTATTATCGTCACCTCTGTTTTTGCCAAATCCCTGTTATTTTCAAATATCAGTTATTATTATTGTCAAATGTAAAAATCGTAATCTCTGTTATTGTCAACACTGTTATCGTCAATTCATTGTTATTATAGTCAAATCTCTGTTATTATATCAACTCTGTTATTATCGCAATTGTTATCGTCAACTTACTGTTATTATTTTCAAATATCTGTTATTATTATCGTCAAATTTAATAATCGTCATCTCTGTTATCGTCAAATCTCTGTTATTATCTTCATTGTTATCGCCAACTCATTGTTCGTATAGTCAAATCTCTGTTAAATCAACTCTGTTATTATTGCCATTATTATCGTCAACTCTTTTATTGTCAAATCACTGGTATTATTTTCAAATATCTGTTATTATTATCGTCAAAAGTAATGAACGTCATCTGTTATCGTCAAATCTGTTATTTTCTTCGTTGTTATCGTCAACTCAGTAATCGCCAACACTTTTATCGTCAACTCATTGTTATTATAGTCAAATCTCTGTTATATCAACTCTGTTATTATCGCCTATATTATCGTCAGCTCTGGTATTACCGTTACTGTTATAACTCTTTCACCGTAAACTCATTGTTGTTATTGTCAAATCACTGTTATTATTGTCAAATATCTGTTATTATTATCTTCAAATGTAATAATCGTCATCTCTGTTATCGTCAAATCTCTGTTATTTTTTTCATTGTTATCGTCAACAGATATCGTCAACTAATTGTTATTATAGTCAAATCTCTGTTATTATATCAACTCTGTTATTTTCAAATTACTGTTATTATTTTCAAATATCTGTTATCATTATAGTCAAATGTAATTATTGTTATCGTCAAATCTCTGTTATTATCTTCATTATCGTCAACACTGTTATCGTCAACTTATTGTTATTATTGTCAAATTATTTTTATTATTGTCAAATATCTGTTATTATCTTCGACTCTGTTATTGTCATATCACTGTTATTATTTTCAAATGTCTGTTATTATTATGTTATTATCTTCATTGTTATCGTCAACACTGTTATCATCAACACATTGTTATTATAGTCAAATCTCTGTTATTATATCAACTGTTATTATCGCCATTATTATTGTCAACTCTGTTATTACCGTCACTGTTATTGTCAACTTTGTTACCGTCAACTCATTGTTATTATTGTCAAATCACTGTTATTATTGTCACATATCTGTTATTATCGTCAGCTCTGTTATTGTCAAAACACTGTTATTATTTTTAAAAAATCTGGTATTATTATCGTCAAATGTAATAATCGTCATCTCTGTTATCGTCAAATCTGTTATTTTTTTCATTGTTATCTTCAACTACGTTATCGTCAACACTGTTAATCGTCAACTCATTGTTATTATTGTCAAATCTCTGTTATATCAACTCTGTTATTATCACCATTATTATCGTCAACTCTGTTATTAGTCACTGTTATTATCAACTCTGTTACCATCATATCTGTTACCATCAACTCATTGTTATTGTCAAATCACTGTTATTATTGTCAATTACCTGTTATTATCATCACCTCTGTTATTGTCAAATCCCTGTTATTTTCAAATTTCAGTTATTATTATTGTCAAATGTAATAATCGTAATCTCTATTATCGTCAACACTGTTATCGTCAATTCATTGTTATTATAGTCAAATCTCTGTCATTATATCAAATATCTGTTATTATCGCCACTATTATCGTCAACTTTGTTATCATCGTCAACTTTGTTATCATCATCAACTCTCTGTTATTATCGTCAACTCTGTTAGTCGTTTTTAACTTTAAGAAAACAACAATTAGTAAAAGAATTAAATGTTTCCCATCACATTTTTCATTATTCTACATTAATAATGAATTAAGCTTACTGTAAATTTGTTGTATATCATTTAAATAAAAAACAGATTGGAAAATGTTTGTAATATACCCGAAACAGTAGAGTGAGTCAAACATTAACAATCCTCCAAGTAAAACCCTTTAGAAAGAAAAAACAAAAACCATCTCTGACATACAAAAACATCTACTGAAACTGAAATCTAAAGATGTAAATAAAGAAAATGCAATAAAACAGGTTTGTATCTTCTGCTAATCTGAAATAAGTCATGCTGCGGAATTAAAATCTGAAAATGAGTGTGCATTAAAAAATAAAAAAATAAAATAATAATATTAATAATAATAATAATAATGAGCTATTGTCATACTCTGTTCTGTTTGACCAACTCCTCTGTGCATTTTATTTGCATTATTCATCACGTGTTCGGCAGACCTCATCATTCAGGAGGTCACTGCTGTTAATCCAGACGTATATACACCACACATCTCCACACGAATCATCTTTCACTTCCTCTTTGTCTGTTCCTCAAAAACCACCAGCCGACAGACGCCAGTGAGACCAATATCAACAGTCTAAACCCCAGACAACTGTTGTGACAGACAGAAATGTGCTCAGTCTGACCACAACAACAGAAGTGAAACTCACTCAACAGGACAAATAGGCTCTATTATTCTGACGCAAGACATATTGCTACAATAAGGTTGCATTAGTTGATGTCAGTTAAAGGGGACCTTTTATGTGCCTTTTTACAAGATGTAAAATAAGTCTCTGATGTGCCTAAAGTGTATATGTGAGGTTTAAGCTAAAAAAAATAAACACAAATAATCTTTATGACTCTTTGAATCTCCATTTTAGGCCCTAATTCTAATTGTGCCATTTTGATGACTGTCGCTTTAAATTCAAATGAGATTGTGCTCTTTTCGAAAGAGGGCGGAGCTATTAATGCCTGTGTGTCAGCATAGTCGCAGATTCAAAAACAAGACTAACATCCTTTGCTAATGAGGAAGATATCCTAGTTTTGGCAGGGATTTCCCCCCCTGAAAAATGTTTACCATTAGAGGCCGTTTATTTCCAAAGACGTGTGACAACAAACCATGTTTAAACCCCTTTTAAAAGTGCGTGGGATAGTTCACCCAAAAATTACAATTCTGTCATCATTTACTTTGCCTTTCACTTGATTCAAATCCTATTTGAGTTTCTTTTTTTCTTTTGAACACAAAAGAAGATATTTTGAAGAATGCTGAAAACCATTAACTTGTTTTTGCTATTATGAAAGACTAATAATTATTAATAAGCAGCAAATTAGGAGTTTACTGAGCTGAAAGTCATAGTTAAAGCTTTAATAATAGCAAGAAATGCACCTTAAAAGATAGTGTCAAGGTCATTTCTAAACAAAAACAAATGCAAACAAAAAAACAAGCTT